CGATTATATGTACAGTACAAATATAAGTTTTAAAAAACTTCAAATAACATCAAAATGATATTTTGAACGTTTTCAAGGTTTAGATAGGAAACAAACAGTATAAGCCTGTATATAGTGTTAGAATACAAACAGTATAAGCCTGTTGTGATTAGCGCTAAGTATAAATACCTCAACCAACAACATTCAGTGGGTAAAGTAGTCCTCAAATACATTAACAAATACACCATTTTTTAAAGATTTCTAACACCGAGTGATAAATTGTTAAGCATTACAAATCTTAATGAGCTACTTCAACCCGGCTAGCCGGGTTAGCGCGGGGCATGTAATCGCAATTCAAAAGTCAACTAAGTGGCTTAGCCGGGACAACTTGGCAAAACGGGAAAACTCGGCCCATGTAATTAGCCCCTCAGTTGGCAGAGCATCCATTGGCTAGTATTCCAAAAGGTATTCCAATTGACACCCTTAGAGTGCTTGTCGACAAACACTTGCCATTAAAGAACAACACCACCATCAGATCATGCATTCTGGGTCTATCATTGGTCATATTTTCTCGAGAGAGCATTATTATCACTGACTTTACAATATTAAAAATAAATATCAAGAGACAAACTAAAATTAATTTATCTTATTTTTAGACCTGGTGATCAGAAAACCTTTCCCATTTTGTTAGAACGGTGAGAGGAATGAATGCAAGAATGAAGCAACAAATCGTTGATGAAGCAACAAATCACTATGGTATGGTCTAAACGTGCCTTAAAGTTTCGCATGCACGCATCCATACCTTGTTTATTTGTGTTCGAATGACTTTTTTAACTTGGTCTGGACGTGCCATGCCAACAATGGCATTGTATATTTATGTTCCAATGAACTTTTAAAATTGGCGTGGACGCGTCCATGCCATTGAAAATATATGTTCCAATTACTTTTTTAACTTGGCGTGGACATGTCCATGCCATTGTATATTTGTGTTCAAATGACTTTTTTAACTTGGCGTGGACGCGTCCATGCCATACATAAATATACAATGGCATGGATTCGCCATGCCATTGGAAATTTATGTTCCAATTACTTTTTTAACTTGGCGTGGACGTGTCCATGCCATTGTATATTTTTGCTCGAATGACTTTTTTAACTTGGTGTGGAACTGTCCATGCCATCAATGGCATGGACGAGTCCACGCCAAGTTAATTAATTAATTAAAAAGTAATCGGAACATCAATATACAATGGCATGGATTTGTCCATGCCATTGGAAATTTATGTTCCAATTACTTTTTTAACTTGGCGTGGATGTGTCCATGCCATTGTATATTTTTGTTCAAATGACTTTTTTAACTTGGCGTGGACGTGTCCATGCCATACATAAATATACAATGGCATGGATTCAACATGCCATTGGAAGTTTATGTTCCAATTACTTTTTTAACTTGGCGTGGACGTGTCCATGCCATTGTATATTTGTGTTCGAATGACTTTTTTAACTTGGCGTGGACGTGTCCATGCCATACATCAATATACAATGGCATGGGTTTGTCCATGCCATTGGAAATTCATGTTCCAATTACTTTTTTAACTTGGCGTGGACGTGTCCATGCCATTGTATATTTGTGTTTGAATGACTTTTTTAACTTGGTGTGGACGTGTCCATGCCATACATAAATATACAATGGCATGGATTCGCATGCCATTGGAAATTTATGTTCCAATTACTTTTTTAACTTGGCGTGGACGTGTCCATGCCATTGTATATTTGTGTTCGAATGACTTTTTTAGCTTGGCGTGGACGCGTCCATGCCATCAATGGCATGGACGAGTCCATGCCAAGTTAAATAAATTTTAAAAAATTAATTGGAACATAAATATACAATGGCATGGATCCGTCCATGCCTTTGGAAATATATGTTCCAATTAATTTTTTAATTTGGCGTGGACGCGTCCATGCCATCAATGGCATGGACGAGTCGACGCCAAGTTAAAAAAGTAATCGGAACATAAATTTCCAATGGCATGGACGGATCCACGCCATTGTATATTTAGTTCCAATTACTTTTTTAATTTGGCGTGGACGTGTCCATGCCATTGTATCTTTGTGTTCGAATGACTTTTTTAACTTGGCATGGACGCGTCCATGCCATGCATGTATATTTGCAGTTTTCCAATGACTTTTTAACTTCATATGGATGTGTCCATGTCATTTGTTATGTGTTTTACATATTTGTGTTCCAATGACTTTTTAACTTGTCAATATTGTTGCTTTTGGAATGGTTACATGGACTTGTTTTGAAATTAAGGACATTTTGTTGCTAATTCTTGTATAATAGTGTAAATAATATAGATGTATTTTTCTGTATGGAAAATACTTGTTATATTAATAAATTAAGCAACATTTTGTTGTATGAATAAAGTTTACTTGATTTCTGTACAATTTAGCAAGTGTTATTTTTCAAAATTATGCCAATTTTAAATATTATAACAAATACGTCCGAACAGTTTTTATAGAAATAATTGTTTGTCAGTTTTTGGCAATAATGAAGAGTTTTGACAAACGTAAATTAAGTGGAACAACGCAAAATTATGTACAGATTAACGTAATTCTCCTGAGAAAGAATCTTCTTTGGAAAAAGTGGGATTAAATTGTCACAAATGTCCAAACGAAATCTAAATTTGTGGCTAAAATCTCGTAATAAAAAGATTTTGTCCACAAAATTGCTAAATAGAATATTGCACTTAGCTCTGGAACGTGTTCAAATGATTAATATCACAAACATTGACGTTTCTCGGTAAAAACATTGAACTTTGTCATGAGAATAGGCAATGTCCGTTTTTATACTAGAGACGCATTATGCGTCTGGCATTGAAACCATCAAATGATTAATATCACAAACATTGACGTTTCTCGGTAAAAACATTGAACTTTGTCATGAGAATAGACAATGTCCGTTTTTATACTAGAGACGCATTATGCGTCTGGCATTGAAACCATCAAATGATTAATATCACAAACATTGACGTTTCTCGGTAAAAACATTGAACTTTGTCATGAGAATAGACAATGTCCGTTTTTATACTAGAGACGCATTATGCGTCTGGCCGAACTTGGGCAAGCATTTGTTGTTCGTCTGGTTATGCGTCCTTAGTATAAAGACGGGCACAAGACGCATTATGCGTCTAGACGAACTATGTTCGATTCTTCGTCTTAAGAGACGCACAACCGATGATAGTTCGTCTAGACGCATAATGCGTCTTGTGCCCGTCTTTATACTGAGGACGCATAACCAGACGAACAATAAATGTCGGATAGTTTATTCGCGTTGGCCGTGCAATGGTAAGAATATTTTCATTCGTGCAATGGTAAGAATATTTTCATTCGGTGAAAGATGGAATGTTCCATTCAACTCGGCTGTCGCCTCGTTGAATGGAACATTCCATCTTTCACCTCATGAAAATATTCTTACCATTGCACTCATAAACATTCATTATTTGTATATTGTTGCACCCCATTCAAGAAGAAGAATATTGTTCAATGTTGTTAACTGTAAAAAATAGGTCAGCATACATTCTTGCAACCTGTTGTACAGGCAGTACAGCAGGCTCGGCGTTTTTGGCCGTGTAGAACCCACACTTCTCTATGACAGGAAACAACGCCCAAAGATGGAAATGCAGAGAATTGTAGATTACATTATTAATAAAAGATAAACTGTCACATAAAAATTCATTCTTCGAAAATTTTGTGGTTGTCATTTTACCGGGAACTTCTTTCTTATATTTATTCAGTTTTATAGGCAAATTACATGTGTTCGCAATGGTCTAGCAAACAACGAATTCGATTAAATTTGCCCATTTCAGCGTTTTACCCCCATTTAAGCGTTTTATCCCCATTTCAGCGTTTTATCTCCATTTCAGCGTTTTATCCCCATTTCAGCGTTTTATCCCAATTTCAGCGTTTTATCCCCATTTCAGCCTTTTATCCCCCCATTTCAGCGTTTTATCCCCATTTCAGCGTTTTATCTCCATTTCATCGTTTTATCCCCATTTTAGTTTCTGCTTTTTGTTTCCGTTTCCGCGATTCAGTTCAGCGTTTTATGCCTACCCCGCTACCCGTTTTTATACTAGAGACGCATTATGCGTCTGGACGCATAATCCGTCTTCTACATTATTCATCTAGTATTATTCGTCCCGTCTTTATACTAGACGAATAATGTAGAAGACGGATTATGCGTCCAGACGCATAATGCGTCCCTAGTATAAAAACGGTCAATGTGTTATCTGCGACTGTTCATCCTTAGTTGCAAGCGACGGTAGTTGCAAGCAAGGTTACAAGTGGGCCCGGAGCTGGCTGTCAAAATTCCGCTTATGTGTCTACATTGAAAGGCAGCAAATCAATTTGATGAACTGACATGTTAAAAAATTTAGTAAGACGAAAGCATCACATGTGATATTAGTATCGTATCCAGTCTTTTTTGTTCACGTTTATATTATTGACTGTTGTAGCTATATTTATGCAAAAGTTTGTAGTTCAACCGTTGTTACAGAACCGCTATATATTGTGTTAAAAATATTTTGACTTTGTTGTTTCTGATGACATTTTTGTTGACTCTCGACTTTTGCTGTCGACTCTCGACTTTTTGCTGCCGACTCTCGACTTTTTACTCTCGACTCTCGACTTTTAACTCTCGACTCTCGAATTTTACTCTCGACTCTCGACATTTACTCTCGACTTTTACACTCGACTCTCGACCTTTACTCTCGACTCTCGACCCTCGACTTTTAGATACACTATAAAATTACTGTGGATATTCGACTAAATTTGGCAACTTTTGCTCGGGATCAGATAAAAAAATTGTCACATACATTTTTTTGTTGTGACAAAATCCGATTGCAAATTCACTCAATTTGTATTTTGCAATAAAACTTACGAGGCGTTCTAGCATTTACTTTACAGTTTACTTAACGTTGCACCGGAATGGCATACATACTTGTCTTGTGACTTACAGTATATATGTCTTGTGACTTATATATATCTAATTGTGACGTATATATGTCCGACCAAATTTAGTGATGTTGGTTTTTGTCCGACAAAATTCAAGTTATGTCCGACCAAATTAAAATTAAAAGTGATCGGACAAATGTCCTGTCAAGTCAAATATTTATTTGCAGCCCTGCTGAAATGTATAGCGAATGTGAGCAGACGTTACTGTAGGTGGGGCCTCGGCCACTAACAACGTCTGCGCAGGAGGTTAGCTCTAATCAAGCAGGGCTAGTATTGCCAAGAGACTGCTACACTAACTGATGTATATAAAATTACTAAAATTTTCAAGCAACATGCTCCTCTTGCGCAGTTTAATGTGACTGTGTAAACGTATTTTAAAAGGATGTACTGTAATTTCCTCCCC